AGCTGGTTCATCTAAGCTTCTGGTTCTCTCTTTTGATTTTATATTGTCGTGGTCGGATTGATTTTGTTTTCAGGAGTTCCGCGGTGGCCCAATTCCAATGTGGGTCCCAAGTTTTCAGACTTTCTCTTCATGTCTGGAATCTTCTAAGAATGATTTTGCCCTCAGGAACTTGGGTGCTGGACTGACCTGAGACCCTGGCAGTGGCCGTGCCACGCAGGGATGCAAAGGCTGATGGGGTGGGAAGAAGCCCCAAGGCCCAGGGAAGCAGAGAGAGGTGAGGGCGGGGCCAGGACCAGAAGTGGTGCTCCTGGAGCCCAAGAAAGGCACTAAGTTGGTCTGGGTAAGAAGGGTCAGGAAGCAGTATTGGTTCCCCTGGCGTCTGGGGCCCCAAGACTAGGGATGGCGTAGGTCCCAAACTAGGAGTAGCGAACAGGGAGGGAGATGGAAGGGTGAATGTGGCTTGGGGAGTCAAGGCACGGAGAGCTGCGCTATAGACTTACCTCAAGAGGCCTGAGGATAGGGGTGCAGGCTAGGAGAGTTAGCCGGTGGTGCAGGTCCAGAGATGCAGAGAGAGGTGAGGTCAGGGCCAGGACCAGAAGCGGTGCTCCTGGGGCCCAAGAAAGGCACTAAGTTGGTCTGAGTGAGAAGGATCAGGAAGCAGTATTGGTTCCCCAGGTGTCTGGGGCCCCCCCAGAAAGAGGCTGTCAGCCCCAGAAAGAGGCTGGCGGGTGTTGCAGGACAAGGGAAGTAGAGGGAGGTGAGGGCGGGGCCAGGTCCAGAAGCGGTGCTCCTGGGGCCCAAGAAAGGCACTAAGTTGGTCTTGGTGAGAAGGGTCAGGAAGCAGTATTTGTTCCCCCGGTGTCTGGGGCCCCAAGACTAGGGATGGTGCAGGTCCCACACTAGGTGTAGCGAACAGTGGGGGAGATGGAAGGGTGAATGTGGCTTGGGGAGTCAAGGCGTGGAGAGCTGCGCTATAGACTTACCCCAAGAGGCCTGAGGATTGGAGTCTGCACTATAATTTTAAATCGATACTATGGTCAGACTTCTCTAATATTAACCAGCCGATAAACAGCTATCAGTGATTCAGACACCTAACCAACTATGTGTTGGGAGACAGTCAAAACACACACACCCCTACCTCATTTCTATTATGAAGAGTTCACCAACCAAATATATACATAATGCAACTTTTAAAAAGTAAAATACATAATTCAAGCCATAATAAGAAAAAGTAAAGCCATCTTCTGCAGTCCTTTTTTTTTTTCCTTTCGGTCTTTTTGAGACAGGGTTTCCCTGTAGCCTGGAACTTACTATACGAATCAGGCTGGCCTTGAACTCAAAGAGATCTGCCTACCTCTGCCTCCCCACTGGGACTAAAGGCATGCACCACCACACTTACAGGGTGTCTCTGAAAGGCAGCTTTACAAACACTAATATCATATCCAAATACTTCCTCTTCCTTTTCCAACTACAACAATCACATAATCACATACACATGTCCTTCCAATCACTTTTGATTGGTCCCAGGTCTACAGACCTACATATTACATTTTCTCCTATATAGGCATTGAATTTTTTAAGCAGTGACTGGTACAATGTCTGCCCAAAAGTATGGCAATTCAAAATATTCGAAAAGCACAGCTGCTGATGCTTATGGAAAGCTTCCAAAATACATTTCATTAAAAAACACATGCTATCCCTTTGAACATTTCTCAAAACAATGCTTTAAATATTTCGTGCTCTCAAACTGAACGTTGTTTTTCAAAAACAGCATTTAAAAGTCTAGTGATAACCTCCATCAGGCATTCACTTTACTTACAAACAGAACATTAGAAATTAATTTCTTCAAAATCCAAAGATAATCCTCCACTAGTCATCCTCCAAGCTTCTGAATGACCCATTCCACGATGTCTCATGTATCCAAAAAATGTCACATCTTGACACCCTGCCAGAACCTGCAGTGCAGCTGGGAGCAGGCCCTTCAAAGCCCTGGCAAAGGGCCAGGCCCCATAATTGTAATTTAGAGAAAAACAGGGGAAGGCAGGAAGGAGAAAGGAGGAAGATATGTATTAGAGTGGTTAGCAACCAACCTCCAAACATTCTGAATTAAAATGTTATTCTATTCTCATAAGCATACCTTTTGCTTCTGCACAACTTAATTCTCACAAAAGAATTCTGGAGAGTAGGAGCCAACGTCAAATGCTTGGTTGTAACAAATTATGAATCTCTCTCAAATGCTGTGATCTGCAAAGTGAAGGTGACTCTTACCCAAATCATACTTCAAATTCATTTTAAGGTTTCCCAGTGTATGCCCTATTAGATATAACATGGGGAGTTATATGCAATTAGTACCTTTGCATGTATGTTATGAAATCAGTTCTGTTCATGGTCCCATAGCACATAGCTAGTACACAAAAGGTAATCCAATTATGCAAAATATACTGAAATTTATTCTTTAAATAAGCCTGATGTAATTTTATCTCAAAGGTATGCTTATGATTTAGTCTGAAAACTTTACAAGGAAAGAAATTTTACAGAAAAAATTCAATTTTTCTAGTTAACAGAAGTTTTATAATTTAGAATTGTCAGAAGCTACAAAAAAAATAAGCAGAAATGATAAATAAAAGTAGTCTTCAATACACAAAGGTTAATTTTTAAAATACTTATCTTTTGGCCAGAGTGGTAGCGCATGCCTTTAGTCCCAGCAATTTGGAGGCAGAGGCAGGCGGATCTTTGTGAGTTCAAGGCCAGCCTGATCTACATAGTGAGTTCAGGTCAGCTGGGACTACAGGGAGACCCTGTCTCAAAAAAACCAAAAAAAAAAAAAAAAAAAAAAAAAACTAATGAAAGAACCAATATTTCTTGAATAAATATTACACATGTAGTGACTGGTGTACTTAAATAAGAATCTTGAGAGATACACCAAAATATGTAGACTAACCACTCAAACCACCTTCTTAGTAAGGAAGGTATGGCCCATATTTTTAGGTGCCTATTATATGCCAGACAGTTTATTGGGTACAAAGATAATAGCTAAAAATAAAATAAATCTTTGTCCTCAAGGAGTCAACAGAGATCACTGAAAAAAAACATGTTAGTTATAGTTTGGATGCTGTATGTCCCCAAAGGTTCTTATGTAAAAGGACCCATTCCAGAATGGCATTACTAAGAGGCGCAAAGTCTATTTTGTTCAGTCCCTTGTCATAGGGCTAAAACACAAAAGACTGTCATTGTTCCATCATATCCTTGTGGGTGTCCTTAGGGGCATGCTGGTAAGGGAGATTAGGAGACTCTAGCCTCTTTTCTCTTTGGTTTCTTGACATGGGGTTTGCTTTATCACCCATTCCCAAGTACACTGTCATTCAACAAACGTAGCAAAGGCCAAAATAGAGCTGTTCAACTATAGCCTAAAATGTTGAAAGTACAACCCAAAGTAAAGGTTTTCGCTTTATAAATTAGTTATCCCAGGTATTTTATCATGATGGGAAGCTAACAAATATACATTAATTAGCAACTGTGGACTACACAAGGATGACAGAAAATATATTAAAATCTTTGGACTGTTAACTTTTTTCATCATTTCCATGTTTACTTTTTCTTCTTTATATTTTTTTTACCTGAATTTTTGTGTATTTCATACAGAGCATCTTAATCATCTTTAAACTCCCTTCCCCACTGGCACCCTCTAAAAGTCCCCTCCCTCCTGGATTTCATGCCTTCTGTCATTTGTGTTAAGACCTATTGAGTCAAGCTAATGTCCCCAAACATCCTTCAGTGCAAGTTCATCCACTGAGGTCTAGTCAGCCTATCTAGAGTCCCTCCCTTATAAGATCAGCTCTTCCTCACCCAGGAGTAATCAGCTACCAATAGTTCTTTGGATAAGATTGGGGCCTGCTGCCCATTTCCATAGTTCTACGATGGGTTTTTGTCTACTTGAGTTTGCATGGGTCTTGTGCATGCTGACGCCATTGCTGTAGGTTCATATGAGCAAGGTCCCAGGAGCCTGTAGGATTCTATTTCCATATGGTCCTGCACCTCCTCCCCCCCGGCTCCTACAATATTTCTGCCCCCTCTTTTTCAATAGTCCCTGAGCCCTGGGTGGGTGGAGTTTAATATAGGAGTCCTGTCCAAAGATCCACACTCTGCAGACTTTTATTCTCTATGCTTGGCCATTTGTATCCTTGTGTTCATGGCCCTCTGTTGCATGACGGAGCTTCATTCATGAGAGTTGAGAGATGCATTAGTGTTCTCTCTACCCCTTGTTTTACTGTGTTCCATGAGCCTTAGGTATAGAGGTTGCATTGTAGATGTGTCACTTAGGGTTGGAGAATTCAAAGACAATCTCTGTGTCTGACCAGTTGTGGAACTCTGTAATAATCTCTGTCTTGAAAAAGAAGTTTCTTTGATGAGTGGTGACTGGCATACTTGTCTGTAAATATAAAGATCCATATTTAGTACATAGCAAGAAATTACATTTGTCTAGGGATGTGACAGCACTGGGGGTTTCTCTAAGACCCTCCAGCCATGTATATTTGGCTACGTTTATAGTACCACACATGAGTTTCAACCCACTGAGTGAGCTTTAAGTCCAATTAGGTAGCTGTTGATTACCCCCAAGATAAAAGTGCCACTACTGCCGCAATAGCGTTTGCTGTGCCATTCACTGTTGTGGTTTTTAGGGCTTAAATCTGGGGCTGCTGGACCATCTATTGGTGCTCTCCCTTAGCAGCTTGCACAGTGCTCTCCAAAACTATGAGAGCTCGTCTTCAGGGAAGGTGGCTTCCTGGTCAGTTCTAGCTCCATGGCTCCAAATCCCAGGGGCTTGCTGGATCCCTAGCCTAGCCAATCAGCGAGTTCTGGTTTAATGAGACCATGTCTCAAATACTAAGGTGGAAAGCAATGAAAACACCTGATGTCAACCTCTAGCCTCCATACACATGCACAAACATGTACACTTATCCCCCAACATACAAAGAAATAAAAAAGAATGAATAAAAAAATCAAGCAGAGCAACTTTTGCAAAAGCATTTGATTAATTATACCACCACACTAAAATACCCACCTTTTCTTCCACAGGGATGTCGTAATGAAAGGGATTAAACTCTAAAACTAGCTCTGTCAGGAACAAAGACATAAAAATAAGGATTTTGTTCCTTAAATGTCCACCTGCTGCTACTTCTCCTTATTCTTTCCTTCAAACAAATCATCTCTATAGCAACACAGTCTTAAGAAATTTGTGGGTGGAAAGCATATGTTTGTGCAAAACTATGAGAACTCAAGAATATGAGCTACTTTATTTCTTTTATAACAAAAGACATACACTATCTTAAAATCTGAAAATTAAAGAACAGATATGAAATAAAAATATTTTTAAAACAAGGAAATATAAAAACTGTACAATTGAGGTTGCACATGTTTATAAGGAAATTCTTTTCATAGGTTAGAATGACACCTTGTGGTAAGACTTTTCAAATTTTACAAATTTTTACAAAGAAACATACAAAAAAGAGTGGTTTAGAAAATAAGAAATACCAAGACTACAGTACTGAAGTGTTTAGGGTATGTAAAATAATCCATTTGGAAACTTAAAGACAAAAATTCAAATCTTAAAAAAGTCCTAATATAAGGTAAGCAAAAGTTCTTTATAAAAATATAAATATGAAATATTATGCTATTCCCTTCACTTGACAAAGCCCATTACCATAACTAAATGTTTTAAATGATGCAAGAACCCTTTCATAATCTAGAACAAATTATAACATTAGTGATTCCTTTACACAGTGATACATAACTTATAAAGTATAAAAATAAAATAAACATCATTACTCCTTTCTTGCCAATGAAAAACAGTATTATGACATTAAAATATGAAAATATCTCAATCATGATAGAATAATTAAGAGAGTAACTTAATAGTGAACTGTCAAAGGTTTTAATCTATGCTAAGTACTATGAAACATAAAGATTTAATTTTTGTACAACTTCATGTCTCTTTAGAATATTCTTCTCCCTCATCAGCTACATATCACAATGATCTCCCATCTTTCTAACCCATCTCACTATCTCTTACAAGTGTTCCCTTTCCCTCACTCACCCTGAGAAGTATTTGGTTCATTGCACCATCTCCATAAGAAAAGTTCAACTGCCCCTCTTATAGCTTCATTTATTACTTCTCTGAGTCACAAATACACACCCAAGTTCCTAGTCTCTCTCTTAGCTCATAACTTCAACTCAACTCATATGCCCTATTTAAACCTTAATGTTGAGACTTGCTATCCCAAATTATAGTGCCTTGGCAACTATGAAACAGCAAAAGCAACATCGCTGTGACTTCTTCATCATTTTAACCTGAAACATTCTCCTAGATAGCAGAATTACCTGACCTTCCTATGAAGTAGAGTATAAGAACCTCGTTCCACAGGGATTCTATGACTATAGTAAAAGAACAGACACTAGTAAGAATTTGAGCAAACAGAACTTGCAAAATCCCTCCCTGTTTACTGCTATTAGAACACACCTTGTTCTTCAACTACACTTAGACATAATTGCAAAAAAAAATACTTGGGTTTCTTTTTTCCTTTGGCTCATTACAGAAGGCTTCATGTCTCATAAAAGGTATATTGGGCTAGGGCTATAGTTCAGTGGTAGGACTCTTGCCTACCAAGCATGAGGCCCTGAGTTCAATTTCCATTATCACAAAAGAGGGGAAAAAGTATATTAAGTTACTGCTATCTTTTAATTCTTAGTGCACAATTCATCCTTAACTCTTGTTTATAAGAAATTATCAATCCTGCTGATTCATCTTTATGTGTTGACTTTACTTATTTATGCAATTACTATTGCGAGTACAGGTATGTGTGTGCCATAGCATATGTGGAATCAGGTAACAACTTTAAGGACTTGGTTCTTGCCTTCCACTTGTTGTGGCAGGGTCTCTCTTGTCTCTACTGCTGTGCTGTGTAAGCTAGGCTACCCGGTCTGTGAGCTTCTGGGAAATTCTTCAATCATGTCTCCCATCTCTCATAGGAGTTCTGGGATTACAGGAATGCCATTCATTGCATCTGACTTCTTATGTGAGTTCCAGGGATCAAACTAACATCGTCAGGCTTGTGTGGATTAACACTTTTACCTGCTGAGCCTCATTTGTTGATTTTAACCATACTTTCCCATTTCTTGAGCCATTTTGCTATCCCAGTGCCAAACTCAAGTATTTAAACTTAACATTCTCTTAACTATAATTTTAT